GGCCGGCTGTAGCTGTAGCCGCCCGACGGCGGCTCGGCCATCGTGGCCACAGCCATGGCGAAGGCGAGGACCTGCAAAAAACCCAAGAGTGAAAGCCACTTTCTTCACGAAGCACAAGACACTAGCATTTACACTGGCCACTGACACTCGCGTAATCCCTCAAAAGCGACACTTACCACCGTATATGTGTTCATGATGCTCGGTTGACTGGTCGTGTGGTGACTGTGATGATTTGGTGATGATTCGGTGGCTTTATACTCGCGATTTTAGAGGGGGTGGGAACAATGAAGTGTCTTCGGAGGATGCCATCCACTTTCACATAAGCCATCACCAGGGGCCTACCGAATTTTAACATGTGAAGAAGTGAACTTGATGCCGCCTCTCGACGGGGAAATTCACCAATGAGACATTCTTTTTAAATTATATAAGAATATAATTCACACGGAGAGTTTTTACATTTTGACAATTATTTGTTGTTAAATTAACATCGATTTGAACGCACTCTCTATGCTAAAGCTGCTTATTAAGAAATCTACCGTGACCTAGTGGCACTATTGCCGGGATGAGGACATTCGCGGTTTTGGCAGACGACCATTTTTAAACAACAAATTCAAGTGTTGAAAATTTATTAAAAGACTTGACATTAAGACTATTAAGAGTCCGGGATCGAAGACCGCAGCTTTTGTACTCGAAATTGGCAACTTTTTGAAGCAGAGAAAGAGAGAAGAAAGCAAAGAAACTAAGAGTGAGAAAGAGGCTTTCCAGTTATAGCACCAACTACATCGGGGCGGATGCACCCATTGAAGTTTTTTTTTAATAATGAATTCTTAATGGAAAACTAATCATAATTGTAATTTTCTATTTATTCTTCTCATTTTTTACAAACTCATTAACGCTGCATTCTTTAAATTTTCTATTACAGGCAACATTATTTTATTTTTCCGTTTCTCAAAATAATCCAAAATTAAGCAGTGGAAAGGGATTTATACATAGACATTTTTTAATTGAAAGTGTTTTTCGAAACTTAAAGCATTTTGCAACTTTGACCATGTACTATTTTTTTACCCTTTTTTTGTTTTTGATTACTATAAGTTACTGTGTTTTTTTCTATTTGTGCACAATTAAAATCAAAATATACCAATCACAATTCGAGGATCAGTAAATTAATTCTTAATTCATTAGTTTTCATTACGAAAACTCAAATTAATATAGTGTTGTCACTATTGTTGTAGATAATTTTTTGCTTATTGACTAATTTAAAACAAAATCAAATACTACTACTGCTATATCTGAAAGTAGATTCAAAAACAATTTATTAGTATCCATAACTAACATACATTTGAAACTACTACTAAAAATTAAATATGAAAACTTGAGAAAATAATATGAAATAAAGAGTTTGTCAATATAAGATTGTAGCTTCAAATTTTGTGAAATATAAATTTTTGTTGAATGTGCAACCACACATTTATTTAGTAAAAGGGACGAAAAAAGTAGGTAAAAAGTAGTATATTCAAAAATAAGTTTCACAAGTCAAGCACGAAGTCAAGTTTAAAAAACGAGTGTCTTAGCCACGAGTTATTTTTGAAAAATAAGTGCTATGAAACGAGTCTTTTATACTATTTTTGTAATTTGCCCTCATGCAAACATTTTTACTTAAATCGATTTAGAGACTGTTGTCCGTTTACCAATGTCTTAAGCTCAAATTTGATTTAGTCGCGTTCTTTAATAACTCTATTACAGAATCAAAACGGAAATACATTATAAAAATACAATTTTTGGACGATGGGGAGGAGAAATCAACTTTTCTTATGCGAAAACTGCGACAAAAATTAAAATTCTCTCCCTAGGGAGAAAAATAAGTTTAACGGTGGGACATTAATCGGATTACATTAATCGGAAGGACACTCCAATGGTAAGCTTTAAAAATTAGAGTCAGGATTGCCAACAGACTCATTCATTACATACAATTACTTTGTATTTGCTCCCATTACTAACTCGTTTCCATTATAAAATATTTTTGTAGTAATACGTAATAACTTAATAATTTAAGTGAAATTTAACTCAAGAATGAAACGTTTATTATTATTTATTTACATTAAAGCAATTATTATTAAAGCTAAGTAGGAAAATCTGGTATAACTTCATTTTGCTTAACTTAATTTTTTGGCAAGTAAATGTTGATGAATTTTACACTGTGGAAAATGAACCCTCTTGTCCCCTTGCAAGATTTTGTTTGAAATGGAGTAAATTCTGTATTGCTTTGAGGTTTTGGAAGCTGCATCACCGATTTTTTCCGGTTCAGTGCTCATGTTTTTACAAATTTTTATAAAAATGTCCCGTTGTTCTTTAAATTTTATTAAAAAATTACAGCCAATTTTTTGTCACAATTATTTAATATTTGCAGCCAAACAAATTTTTTAAGTGTTTATTGCCAATAGAAAAATTTATTTACAGTAAAAATTTTTGTTAAAAATACTGATATAATCTTAAAATAGGTATGTATAATATTTTAAACTTATATTTATTTTTTAGAAAAAGAGTGAAAAAGTGAAATATTAACTTTGTGGTAGAAAATAATTTAAAAACAAAATAATTGAAAATATTTCATAAAAAATGTGAAAACCTTCTACAACTCCAAATTTGCTTTTTAACAAAGTAGCAATTGAAGAATATGGAAAATAGTAAAGGTAACAACTCAGTATTATTTTTCATGAAGGCGTTGGAATTTTCAACTCGAACTGATTTTTGTCATTGTGCGTAACGAAATTTTTTTATGTTCGCATCCAAAAATTCAGGAAATTGATAAGTCACCAAAAACAGAAAAAACACTAGACTGACGCACCCTACTGATATTTCGAAGTTGAAAAATTTAACCTGCTTTAGATCAAAAACGGCTAGTTTGCCACACACCACTGCTAAATATAAAAATATTTATTAGGTTCCTTTTTCGTGACATTTCACCTGACATTTACAGAGATGTTTTGTTTTATGATATTTATTTTCCTCTATTGTGACGACAAAGCTTAAAATAGTCGAGTAAAGTTGATTTACAAATTATCAATTATCATAACTTAAAACTGAGATGACAAAAATTAAGTAACAAAAATCACATAAAGGATTTAAATTGCAACAGTTGCTAACATTAAATTTGACCAAAAGAATTGATCAACTGTTGCGTTACTTTTGTCAATAGAGAGGAAGGCTTTAGGATTTAAAAAGTAATCTGCTAATGTAAATAACAAACAAAGATACTATTTCGACGAGTTGCTCGTCACTTATCGTTGAAATTTAAATTAAATAAATAGATAATTTATTAAATTTTTTGCTACAACATTTAGATGTGTTAAAAGTCATCAGACATGCAGTAGCACTTCTGCGCTTTGCAATTTTAATTACTTGTGGGAGTATCCATAATTTATGAACTTGTTCACCGACTACAATGAAATGTTTCACTTTCATCTTTTATTAGAGAGTTGACACAGACACAATTACACTTTCTGGTGCAACGTAAGATCTGATAAAGCGACGAAATGTAGTAATTCATTAACAATAAAAAGACAATGCAATATGAATATTATCTCAACTCAACAATATTACTTTTAATAATGGTTTAAATAAAGTAATGCGATTTTATCAAATTTGGCAACCCATTGTATGCTAAATCAGACACCGAAGCTCCTAAAAATAACTCTTGATACACCTAACGACTTCCTTTTAATAAGTTCCGCTTTTTGACAAAATTATTAAAACATGATTTGTTGTTCACTGAAAGAAATGATGCATGAGTTAATAGTATTTTTCAAACACTATTGACCAGAACACTTCCTCCATTGAACGGTTCATTAAACCATTGTGGTGAATCTTTATAATGAATACTAATTAGCAGGAATCTGATTATTATTATAGTTTTCTCGAGAGAACAGTTTATAATTTGTTTATTACTTCCATTCGGCCAAATGCGGAAATTATAAAAAATACGAAAAAATATTATTTTAAAAAAGTTTTTACAATTCGAGCATCGTATAGTTATAATGCAAATGTTGCCCATAGATAACCTCCATGATGCTTAAATTAATTTTTCAGTAGTGTGAGATAAAATCGCACATTTCACCTTTCTCTCGATAAACGCTCATTCATATTGTACCTCGACATACATCTGCACTTTGCATGTGCACTAGTAATTTTACTTCGTTGCATTTATTATAAAAACTAATAACAGCATTAATCGTTTTAAATGTTATTCATAATTCACGAAGAGAAATTTTCATCAATTCTGTGCATTTTATACTTTCATTTAGGATGTAGTCCAAGGACACATTGGCTAAAACTTGATCTACCAAGTAGGTGATACTGGTTAGGATTCATCTGCTGTGAGTTATGTGTGCAATACGTGTACGTGTATGACCCGGTTTTTCTTCACATTTTTATATTTGCTACACATAAACTATACAGGGTGCGCCAGAACTCGCGCACAAGAGAAAAATGCCATATAAGGTAAGATACCAGGAACATGGAAAAAATGTTAAAAAAATTTTATCTATAAAAATTTCGAAGTTATGAGGGCTTAAAGTTTGCACTTTGACTCTATTTATTTCAGTTGGAAAAATACTTTTCCAAGTTTTTTTGCTATAGGCTATTAAAAGAGGAAACAAGGAAGCTGTATCCTAAATTGTAATTCTGTTTAATGTTATTTGTGACTTTTATTGTCAAAATTTTTGTCTCTTTACTAAATAATTGTAAAAAAACATATACAAGATCATCAGTATCATTAAATAGATATAAACATTTTTTTCATGTTCCTGGTATCTTACCTTACTTGAAAATTTTCTCTGGGGGGCGCGAGTTCTGGCGCACTCTGTATAAGTACCTACTTTTACTATTTCCAGTTTCTTCTACAACAAACATTTTTTTTCAAGTATTTTTGTAAAAACAAACTAAAAATGTTGCTAAATTTGGAAACATAAAGTAGATTTGTATAAAAGGTGTGCCAAATTTCATCCACACCCCCACATACCTCTTTATAATTAAATTAAAATTGTTGTAAAAATGGAAATAAAAACGTAGAACAGCTAACCATTGGTGCAGTTTTATATTTTTTTTACTTGTGCAGTTGGTTTTTTCACTTTGGGTTAACTAGTTACAATTTAAGGTCAAAGATTACATTAATTAAAAATAACTTGTTGAATATACCTTTAATCAAATTATTATTTTTATGTTTATTTAACCATAATTAAACAAAAATGATTGTTAATTTTTTATCAGGTCTTAGTTTTTTGTTACGAACGATAATTTTCTTGCTTTTTGCACAAAAGGGGGTGTAAAATACATTTCATTGATTCGCATTTGGACTTCTTTTCTAAAAAATTAGGAAACAACAGGGCGTGCGTTTTCATAAAGATCTGAAAGGTTTTCAAAGATCAGCACAAATTTTTTTGAGATGTAAATGTATATTAGGAGATTACTGTTAGACTGTTATAAAACTGATACAAAAAAGCAGAAAAAACAAAGCAAAAAAACTCATTTTTTTAAATTTGTTGTTTGGCGATTTATTTTTTTGAAGTCAGTGCCTCAAAATCTATAAAAAATTATAACTTTTAGCTAAGGTGTAAACTAGTGTTATTTGCTTATAAATACAGGGAGTCCGGAAAGAAAGATGCCCTAGACAACAAGAAAAATGTTAAGAAAATCTATCTATAGAAATGTCGAAGTTATGAGAGTTTAAATTTTGCACTATGACTATTTATTTCTGTTGGAAAAATAATTTTCCAATTTTTTTTGCTGCAGGCTATTAGAAGAGGAAATTGTTCCCTAAATTGTAACTCTGTTTAATGTTATTTGTGGCTTTTATTGGCAAAATTTTTGTATCTTATTTTAAAGGATAATCAGTATCATTAAATAGACATAAAAAATGTCAAATGTTAAAAAATAAATGTCAAAATTTTTCCACAGACTTTCCGGACAGCCTGTATATTTGTAAATAATGCATACATTTTTTCTAGGAAATATATCGTTTTTTATCAGCATCTTGGTACTGATGAGACACTTAGTTTTTATAACTATGATACAATAGTAAAATTTTGTGTAAATTCTATCAATTTAATAAAAAAATGCAGTCTAATTTTTAATCAGTTGATGAAAAAAACAAAAAATTGATCAAACAAAACTTTGTTGACTAAGAGGTGTTAAGCACCTATGGATAAAATTTGACGCCCCCTATATTCAGTATGTCCCCGGATTGGGTTTACAAGAGGAAACAATTTTTTACCTTTGATTTTACCCCAAAACTGCAAAGGAAAAACATTTTTTGCTTCACCTACAACGAGCAAATCTGTACTTAAAACTTCATTATTCTGATTCAGTGAAAAGTCCAAAATCAAGAGAAAAATAAACTTTTCTTTTTACTGAGTTAGAATAATAAAATTTTAATTACAGATTTGCTCGTTTCAGGTAAAGCAAAAAATGTTTTTCCTTTGCAGTTTTAGCGTAAAATCAAAGACAATTTTATTTCCCCTTGAAAACTCAATCCGGGCCATACTGTATATAGCCAGAATAGTTTACAAAATAGGTATTAAAAAGAAAAAAAAATACTCACTACTAATTTATTAGTTTATTACTAATTACATTTATCCAACACTAATATCTTATCCTGTTTCTATATCTAATATACGGCGTCAATCACAACGTATTTTATAAGTACATAAAATGCTCTTATCTTGGCATTTTATCAATTTTAACATTATTTTGAGAAATTTCTTAATAACAATTTCTGAATTTAGTAAAATTTCTTATAATATTATTGGTAGTGGAAACAATTTTGAAGACAACACAAGTTTTATAGTTTAAAACTCTTGTCTTAATAGTTACAAATATCTGCATTAATCTAATTCTACTGGATTAGAAAGTGAATGATGC